AATGGGCATTTTCTATGTTCTTTATACTTCACTAAAGGTGAACGGAGGCGAAACATGCGCCAGCTAGCACGCACGCGATGCTGCATGTGTTTAGAGATACCGGAGAGACCGGAGGTGCGGTGAAAGGGGAATAACTTATGAGACGAAAAACCGTAGCAGTTACTGCATCGATAAAAACAAGATAGATATTTTCTTCCAAAGGAAAGAAAGAGTCTGCTGAGAAAATGGACTGAACGTGTCTACGGCATTATGCCAGCGAGGACATCGATACTACAACTACTACGATGACCATTTTTGTTACCATGGTTATTGTCGTCTTACACTGACGGATATTGCGCACCTATACGTTGATTTTATCATAGCAACGACCGGACTTGTTGTTTTGTATTTTACGTATAGTTGAATACACTGGCGTGTTTGCGGTCTGATTCCGGTTGTAGTAATTACTAGATCTAGCAAGCATACTTATTTATTATCGCAAATGATCGCCCTCGGTGCCGCACGGCGTCACACTTCGGATGATCACGCCCGGGAACGGAAGCGAACGTAGCCCGATCGATCGGTGAAAGTTCAGCATCTAAAACAAAAAAAAAAATTATCCAGCAGGCATACGACACACGTCTGGTCCCGTGCCATTACTGCACAGACGATTATGGTTTCTTAACAAGAACCAATCGTTGCGGCTAAGAAGGGGCGAGCGTCTGCAGCAAGCCAGCTTAAATAGCGCCCGAAATAACGTTACGTTGTGCCGCTTTTGCTTATACTTCCGACCTCTAGAAACTCATCCAGACAAACATGGTCTTGCAAATCAGCAGTTCCATTGAGGGACACGAATTTAAAGGCTTTAAGCGGGCCAGGTGAATACTATCAGACGATCGTATGAGGAACGGTCTTCCTCTAAACCGCGCCTGACATGAAATGTTGCTAGCCGTAAACAAGCATCGAGAGCCCAACAGCATGCGCCGCTCTCATAACACTAACGCTTGAGCAAGCTGACACGCCGCATCAAAGGCAAAAATTCAAGTGGGTTATCACTTCAAACTAATTTTCGTAAATAAGCGGCCTAATTGGCCTAAATTACTACTTTTGTACTATGTTATGTATAAAAACTAAATTCACTTATGTAGGGCCGTTTTTTTCCGGAATGGAATGAAGCGTTTCTTGAAGAAAACCCTTAAAAAATTGCAGAATCTTTGCAAAGCTCAAAGGCTTATAATCGAGAGAATAGTATATCGGCCAGATAAAGCTCAAGGTGATAGACTTTTCGTAATATTTAATTGGTTAGCAGCGAACGCGGCTACATTGAAGATAATAAATACGCCCTTTAAGCTAAAGCAATTCTTTGTGTACAAAAGAAGAGCCGGGAGGGTATTGCCAATTTTGTATATGAGATTCTAATCTGTGCATGAAATTTCGTAACTTATTTACATAGCTTTTGTGGATTCTTGTAACGCGCTCAGCATCTGAAGGTGCAAGTTTGCAAAAGAGAACATTTTCAGATTCAACTTAATGCACTTTAATTCCAGCACACATAAAAGGAAAATTAACTTGTTTTTATATTACAAGAAATTTGTTTGTCTTGACTTTATTAGAGAAAGGCGGTTCATTATGTACAAAAGTCATACCTATACACGTTTACCTTTAACACAATATTATTTTGCATATGTTTTTATCATTACGCGAATTCACACGCTATAATGACTTTTTACAAGTCAATGTTTTTATCTGCTTCTGCTATAACAGTGGCCTTCTGTAAGATATCAATAAGAAGGGCTGTATGTCAAGGATGGATCTTTGTGTTTTCGATTTGTATCTTTAGCGGCACTGGCCCATCGTAACTGTCAATTGACCTGGCCTATCAGATATGCCACTAGTGCCTTAGCTAGAGATCCTCTATTGTAACGGTCCTAAAATTGACTTCGTTCGCGAAGGAATTACGCTTTGAAAAACCGGTTGAACGTGTCTTCTGATGAAAGCTTTTCGTTAGTTTAGGATTCATTTAAGGCCCATAATGTACGTTAATACCGTAATTTAATCAATACATTTAGCCACTTTCTATCTAAGAGCAATATGTTTAGACAGCAATAACAAGGAACAAGTAGAGCTTTTCCTGAATCAGACAATTTATATTTTGATTTTTTGTGTAATAAACGAACACCTTTTTTCTAATGGAGAAACATTTGAGCAATGTCTCTTAGGCTAGCGCAACCCGTTTTCTTTACCTTGGCCAAAGTTAACCGACGACAAAACCTATTCTTGGAAAAGGTGTGTCGTGTCACTTCATAATATAAGCCACTTCATTATGCGCTTAGAAAAGGCTCAATCTATATTCGTCTTCGACCCATAATTGGTTCATAGACCCATATTGGTCATATAGAACGTCTCGTCAAGCTAAAATGGGGTAAAGCAACATATGAATACCCTAGTTATGGATTAGAACGCTCTCAGATATGCTGTTTCCGTTACAGCGCAGATGTTTCCTTACACATACGCCTTCTAGCGCAGCTCACACGCCCTTCGCAACACTATTTTTAAAGTATCAAGGCATAAATACAGACAGTTATCCGTCGAAAATAAGCATCAGGAAAAACAGCAAAGCACGATTGTAGAGCATCGTCTGCTCAATTTTGAGTTCAGTGCAACATAGATGCGGCAATTTCCGGGCCCGCTCGAGGTATTTGTTTTTTTCTTATCGCCCGTATCTGCGCGTGAGTGGCTTGCCTCTCGATACGTGAGCTTTGTTTATGTTAATGTCTATAACACGTTACAAACGGCGCACATTTGTCTGCATGTGGGGTCTCTAGATTTTCGCATCGGCTGAAACGAAGTACGATTAATCGTGCTCGTCTGGACTGGATTGTGCAGTGAGAATGTTTTGCTAATTTACGCTTAACCTAATCCGTCATGGGGAAATGAACCAGGGGCATACTGTCGGCGTAATGCACAAAGGGTAATAGTGCTATGATTCCCGTAACGGGCAGCATCTTCTATACTGACACAGACAAATAGATTGTAACGATAGCTCGTACGTTAAACTTCGGATTATATAGTGATGTCGTCGAGGGGAGGTTTGTATAGCTGCATTGTAATCCCTGCATAGGTCTCTCTGTAAGCTTTATTCTAGTCATAGTCGAAGTTGTTCTTTTATTAGAGGGCTTGAAGGTTTCTTCTGTTGTCATCTATTGCTCGCAGACACGGCTGACGTACGTTAATCCTTGTGATGTAAAATCGAGTTTTTAATTATTTAATTGTAACTAAATTATAATCTTAGATATAGATTATAATAATAATTGAGTAGAGTCATATCAATTATAGTTAACCAATGCTATCTAATTAGAGATAATAAGTAAAAGCTTTAGATGGGAGAATATCTTTCCTCCCGTGGTCGGTGAAAAAAAATCACAAACCTGCTAGTTTGGAAGATTTAAATGGTAATAAAAAACGTATTTTGTTATGTCATTGTATTATAGAATGATTTCGTAAAGAATGTTTGTGACGAGAGTGCACAATCAGCTTCGTATTTGGTTATTGCAGCGGTCGCGGTAACTCTCGCTTACCGCAATAGGTGACTATAATGGCACCCTTTACATTGTTGCTTTTCATCTGCCATAGAAACAAATGACTTCGATGTCTGACAAAGAAAGATAGCTACGTTTCATACCTAATCTATTTTAATACAATAGCCTATGAAGAGGACCGTTGTCTATTCCCTGAGCGGATGCCTGAAATGTCACATAAACGGGTTTTTCTTACTACAACCTAGGATCTGCTGTAGAACAAACAGTTATTTAATTCTATTAAACGAAGCATGCATGGCGATGCGCGCATGTTCTTCACTGCATAAACGGCGCTGGCCGTCTACGCAATTGCTTAGCGTAGTGAAACTATCAATTGTTTCCATGGAACTCTTTTTTTTCCCTCATACGATCCTCAAATTCTAATATGAACATCGAAGATACAGATCCTTCGTTCAAAACCTTCGTTTCTTTCAAGGAGAGACGAAGTAAAGCCAGGCTGAACTCAAACAGAATATGAGGTTATCAATTCCGTTAATCAAAGCACGTCTCGTCACTTTGGGTTTAATGTTTCTGCTTCTCTTCAGCTTTTCTTCACATTTTCACTATGTCAACTTTTTCTATGATCTACGGCTCATCCTAGCTTTCCAACGTCCGACCAATTTCACGTGTCCTTATTTGTAAGAGCGTATATGTATTTAGCGGTAGTACTAAACGTATAATCTGCAGACCTATACAGCGTAAAGTGTCTAGATTTCTACAGCCGTACTAAATATCAAACACAACCAGCAAAATTATAAAATAGCAAAAAGACCGGTCAGGAGAGAGACTGGCACTGAGTATGACTTAGATACGCTGAACTTGCTCGCGCATGGGTCGATTCAGAGACGTACACAAACATATAGACCATATCTATAAACACACGCAACAGTATGGCAATTGTGGCGCTGGTGGGAATATTTCTTAAATCATTTGTCTTAGACAAAGCACTTAAATGACAACGCGTCACATTTGTTATTTAAGCTTAATGGATTGGCCTTACGCGGTTCGATGTCGCCAGCCAGGGCCATGTACGTACGCCGACATTGACACGCAATGGCAGCCTTGAACTGTGCTAAAGCCTGTGCTTGCCGCTGTCATCCTGGCTAGCGACAACGAAACCCCCAATGGACCGGAGCATTAGAAAGATATGCGTATGAAATTGTCGCAAATTGTAGGCAACAGTTCGTTTTCCCTCAGTTGCCGCTATTAACAATTTCAGTGAAAGAAAAGGAAATAAGTTTTTCAACAGCGACAACCTGTGATAAATATCTGTAAGTGGACATTTCGATGGTAAAACGCGTTTCAGATATCGCTTTGATTCTAAAGTTAGAGCGATAGCAAAGTCGGCTCTCACCTATTTCGACGTATAGGCTTATGGGCACGGTTCGGGCGTATAGTAGACTGAGTCGAGAAGTTGTCTGACTTTTTGTTGCTATATTTCAGGTACGGGATATTTCGGCCTATGGAAGTACTGTCAGTTGATTCAGGATGGCCAGGGTATAACTTGCGCGGGGACGTTGTCGGACTTCACACAGATTCCATCGATGGCGTTCCGTATGGCCACGGTCCTGGTTGGTTTGTCGGTGGCCTTGAGTATTGTCTCCATTGTCACTATGCCTATGTTTTGCTTCGTTAATACGTCAACCACCTTCCACATCTGTGGATGGCTCCAGGCTTTGTCAGGTCGGTACTTGGAAAAATGGCTTACTAATTTGCTGTTGATATGTCCTATCGAGTCCGCTAAAACTAGCAGGAAACATTAGGAATCTAGTAACACCTTGACCCGTCTGGCTGTTATTCAAATAAGCAAATTATAGAAATAATTTCGTATACGAACGCGTGACTCGTTATGTTATTTTACGTGTTAGCGAATACCCAGACATGTAATTAGCTAATTGAAAAGTAAACAATGTTGGGTACGATTCCTATTACACATTAGAGCTTATAAGCTAAAATATAGAACGGAGAACTAAGCTCTTTTGTTTGGTATATAAACTAACTACTATGCTAAGGTAGGCTTGCTTATAACAATTCTCAGGAATGACTCTCCTCGGCGGATGTTTGATCTACCCGATCGGTTGGAATATTTCGATTGTGCAAGATGTATGTGGACCTCTCGCTGGAGAGTATTCTCAGGGCAACTGTGCCGTCAGGTAAATTGCAGAATTCCGATGCATAGTAGGCTGAAATTCAAAGCCAATGTGGATAAAAACGACCTTGTTTGGCCTCACCGTGCTGTTCCTTTCATAGCCTCGAAACAATCGTCACGCGATTAGGTTACGGTACCGCCAGTACACATCGTTCCATAAAACCTTACCTTCATTGACTTTTACGCAGGTGGGCGTTCGTGTTGGCGGGCATTGGAGTGGCGGATTCTGTCGTGCTCTCCATCCTTGCTTTTGTCCTGGGCAGCTACTATGTTAGGATGCTGCCTAAAAACTACCTCAACTCGAAGGGTAACCTATTTGAGAGAATGTATAACACATCCACTTCAACAGCAACAAGAATTACAACAGCGGCCAAAGCCACAGGAACAAATAGCAAAAGCAACACCCCATCTTAACAAATCAGACCCACATTATGCCACAATTAGTTTTTCTGTGTTTACGAGCTATTATTGATTCAATCGCATGTAAATACTTGTAGATGTTCCCCTTACAAAACACATGCTTGTCAGTCCGAACAATAAGGTTCACAACACAGTAGCAATAATATAGTACCAGTAGCAATAATATAGTGAAACCAAGCAGCTCTGGTAAGTCAAACAAGTCGTAGACAGGGGGCAATGGTCGCTGGCGCATTTGTGATGGAAGAGCTTTTTCTCTGTGAGAACTCTATACGTATTTCTTGCACGTCAGCCGGTGAGCGCTGCATGCTAATATGGAGCACCCATTTTTCTAATGATGATAATGCTGTTTGGTGAACGAAACTGAAAGTCATATATTTCAATACGATGATTGGAAACCATTCAGGAAAAGTAAACATGCACTAGATAGTACGGGATGACCTAACCTCGTATCAAGAGCTTGTTAGCATTCACACTACCAATAATTGTGCAGACACCTAGTGTTTTAACGTTTGAAACAGTTAGATCAATCGGAGACATTGTATCGCATCATCTAAAAGAGTAATTTAGATTTATATACATGTAGGTCTAAAAAGTGGGTTGTTGGGAACGCAACTCATCCCCCCCTCCCATGTTCTCGGAATGGGCATTGTGCCTATATGGTTATGGAGGTCCGGTTCAATGTAAAGACCCAATCCAGGACGCAACCAGTAGTTATGACTGAGAGCACAGGATGTTTTCATTTTATCTCGGTAAAGCCGTACTAGATATACGATACAGCGCTTGCTAATCACGCACAAAACCCGACTAGGCCCTTAGAAACATATAATGCAACCTTTTACTCATCGCCTTAGAAATAAAACATGTACGACTCTATCACTCCGTATCCGTCACTGTCAAGTAAATTATATACCTAACATCTACTTGAAAAACAACCAGGAATTATGAGCGAGTATCATGTGGTGACGTTTTACATTGGCTGGTACCATACCCTGTCTTTCGGGCTATTCGACCCATCGAAAAATTCAAAGCTCGCGGTTATTTACTCAAGTATGTAATTAAAAGCGTGGCACCGCTGTCAGCGTATCTAGTTACTGCCATCGTAGATACGTTCAACTTCGATAATATAAAGCTTTTAAGAACATCACTGCTCAAATTATCACGCGTCTTCACCCACTATAATTTAATGCTTATCACGATTGGAGTTACGCCTATATTACCCGCTTGTATAAACGTGCGCCTATAACACTGACTTCACATATATCGTTACCTAGCGCGAATTTCGAATAGGAGCAACTGTTGAAGTCTGCCGTTTATGGGCGCAGTGCTACTGTCGTTAAAATTTCTTCAATAAACGATTTCCGTCAAAATAGAATGTTTCCTAGTATATGAGCACATTATAATCGATGGTGAACAAAGGTCTTCTTGTTGTTTGTTGTGTCAGGTACGAGGACAGATTCGAATACACCGTAGGCTTTGCACAATTGTGATGTTACTAGTTGTTATTATCGTCTAGATCGACTGCTAATAATCGGTGCACGACAACATTACAAGGAAGATGGTCTGGACGATAAATGAGATAATAACAGTAAGAGCGATGCGTCTTCCTCACGCAGCATTCGTGCTTAACCGGAACGCTGCTTCTGCACGTCACGCAGACATACCTACTTGTGTAAATGAAATGCTGAATCGTCTACGTCACTGTTTATTCGATCTTCATTTCTCGTAGTTGCAGACTAATTAATAGCTTCAGTGACCTGACAATTTATGATCAAATGTTAGCTGGCCAAAAGCGTACCACGGTCTGACGAAAACAAAACCAGTGCGTTTATTATCGGTCACTAGACCATGACGACCACTTAAAAAGTCCATGTTCACTCAAGCTGTATAAGTAAATAACCTTCACGTTTTACCAGCGCCGGATAAAAGGGCTTTATCTTGTGGCATAACTCAGTGAATATCTGAAGGGGCTCACGTGCTTTGCTTCCTTCAGTAGCTCTCTTCGGCAACCGGCTGATGTGTGGTATTTGCAAGCAATGCACGTTCCGCCAGCTTATAACACCCTTTCTCTAACCCACTAATACATACGTATTTATCTAAAAAGACGGTGTCGGTCATTAAGCACAGCATAAATCCATCGCTTCCAACGCACCGACTCCGGATCATCAGCGTACCTACTACAAATAGACTATTAAAGTTTTCAGAGAACCTAACGCGGTGAGATCTGCGGTTCGTTCTTCAGCACTAGAGAACACAATCACCGGCTTTCATCACGAGCTCTATGTATCATACAGATATATCATAAGAACAGTATCATTAAGTATATTCGTTAAGGACATCTTGGTGAGATCTTCTAGAGGTCGTACACACGTTTAGTCTACTACTAGTGACATTGGCTATAAAGGATGATACGTAATATAACAGTTCATTGGATATGTTATAAAATCTTAGTTCTTTTCATTTATTGCTAAAACACAGTCTTGCCTATGCGTTATCAACAAAACACGCAAGCATCTAGTAGTTTGTCACCTAGCGTTCAGAAATCGTTTATTCAAACGTTACGTGTACTAGCACTCATACGATTATTATGAGGATCATGATTGCTTTATCTGATCTAACCTTTTTCTATCGTACGGACCGCCACAGTGGTTTCGTTAAATGACTTAAATTTTCTCTCCGAATTTCAGTTCCCAGCGAAAAAATGAGCCGGTCCGGTTCCGTTGTTCCTGAGGGTTACGCACCGTCCCATTACTCACACGGCTATGGCTTTTAGATATCCGATCTGCGGTTATAAATGAAATTGAAGATCAATACATCACTGCCCCGTATCATACTAGACTTTTGTCAGACACCCCCAACAACAACAACAACAAAAGAGAGCTCAAAGACAATCGTACTTGTCGTGATCCGCCCTCGTGCCGACTTTTCATAGATGACACTGGAAATCAGTTGAACTCTGGTGTGCACTGACGTATCAGCGTAGGCGATAGATGCTGGTAACTTTGGTGAGGTCGCCGATCGAGCAGACGGATCGTGTTTACGTTCGCCTGGCCCGAAGGACTGTCGATTAAAAGCTTCGGTAGCATGAGCGATGCCGTTTTATACGCTGTAGATTCTTCACCGTCTTTCCAACAGCGATTGAACTTTTACCGTAGATTCGTTATGTCCAGATGAAACTTGTCACCTACTGTTTAATCACATTGGTCATATAGCGATAACGAATATAAGGTTGAATCTAGGAGGTCGGGCTGAGTGTTCATATTTAGATATACAATCGACTGTACGCAATTCATCATTTCAAAGCAGAGCTATCATTTATTGTGTAGAACGACGTTCACCTATCGATTGGAAGGTTGGCTAAGTGTTCTTTATCGTCGATTACAAGATAGCCTGACCTAGCTCCCCGAAATAGACACACACGTTCATTCATTCATTCATCCAGAAGACTTTGTTTAATGCTCAAAGCCCCTATTAGGCCCCTGTCGGATTTATAATAATCACTTATCATAATGTCACAAGACTGCTTTGTTATGTTACTATGTTAAACATTAGATTGTTTTTGCGCCCTAACAAATGATATTGTCAACCTTTTTTTTTTTTTTTTTTGTATGCTTCTTGTTCGAATAGGACAGCAAGGAATTAACCCTGCGGGTACCGCAGTGGCGCTTTTCGGAGCTGTGTCTAATACGAAGGTGTCGTTCCCTGATCAGTCTTTGATAAGCGTTTGCAAAAACAAATGAAGTTCTAGAAACGCGTATACGAACTTGATTGTCGTTATGATTTGCAAAATAGTTTTTTTGACAATTCAGATTTTCCTCTAAAATTGTTTGAAATAATTGAGATCGTGACTGTGAGCAAATGGGAGAGAATGCACTAGAGAAAAAGGCGGAAAAAAAAAAGAAAATCGTTTGATCGTGCATGAATGAACGAATACATGACGTCCTCTTTTTGTGATCGCATAATTTGAGGATAGCGTTGAACGTTTTCTGAAGTAGCCATAGGGTATATTGAAGTCGCAGGTCACTCTAAGCCCCTTCGCCACTTTTACCATCCTCCAACTGGCGGATTTGGCGCTTTAAAGATACCCCAAAAGACATACCCATAGATACACACCATTACCTTAATACTGTTTCGCGCTTTTCAAAGATTCGCTTGACTCAACTGTTTGAACGACAAACAAGTAAATTATAGCGACCTTGTTATGGGTACCCAACAGTAACCGACTGTGTTTGACCTTGATTATTGGGAGATTAGCTGCAAGAAAACAGAGACAGGGTAACCGCCTAAATAAGATATATGGCGAAGGGTGCTATGAGCCTGTTAAGTGAAATATACAACCACTAACTGAATGTGGATATACGACGAGGTATAAACGAATATGTCGCTAGATGAAGAAATACAAAAAGAAAAACATACCATATGTATTTCACCATCTAACCAAAAAGAAACCGACCATATATTGAGTACTTGTCCATGGGTCCAATATCATGTACATAGATACCTGCTGTTATTTATGCTGATGAGATGACAAGCGATGCGGATACTGATATAAATGACGAAGAAACCCAAGGTTATATACAATGGACGATGCTAAAATGAATGAGAGTTGAATAAATAATATCAAATAAATGTTGAACATATCAACTAATTACACTGGCAGTGTTATTATTTGATGCTTAGATAGAAACTATATATACACACACACACACACACACACACCACACACATATATGAAGGGGCATCAACAAGAGTGGACCCAACGTGGTGATTCAGATAAAACTCGATCGCTTGTTCGCTGATTATATTATGAATGTTTATACAGGGTGCAGCCCCTTAATTGGGGCTTTTGCTATGCGTTGTTTTGAAGACCGCACCTAAACAAGGACATACGTCTTAACGTAATTTCAGTATACGTGCTAAAAATGTCGTTCCTAATAGTCGCAATTATAGCCCTGCAATTTCAATTCGGAACCTAAACCACTCATTCCCTCTTCACCGATAGTCAAGCGATATTAATAGATTTCTTTAAACTTGTCCGAAATTTTGCCTAAATACGCTAGCGGAATTGAATTTTGGGCTGATCGCAGGTTAAAAGTGCCAAAAAATGGAAAGAAAAAGGCGCAAAGATATTGATAGAACTAACCGTTAGAGCCTGTTTGGTCGACTCAATCGACAACGGAAAATTTCATATCTGAAGCGGCCGTCAATTTCTTAGTCTAAAATGACCTTTTCAGTCATTTTTGACTTTTTTGTATATAAATTTTACTGAAAATCTTCCGGTTTGTGTTAATTTTTTTTTTTTTTTAATTTTTTAGTAGCCCCACAAAAACTGGAAAAAGCGTATAGTTTTAATTTTAGGAAAAAAAAAAATTGAATTTTGAGTCCTAATAAGATTTCGTTGAGCATAAAGAAATTGGATAAGAGTTCATATTTGCTCAAATTCTGAAAGTGCCATATTGTTTTTACGATAACAAATTTAGTGTTTTGTTCTAGTGGCAAAGATAACGGGCGACGACATGCCTGTTACGATAGACAATCCACCAAATTCTGTCCCACCTTAAGCATCGTACTTCGTATTACTACGTAACTTTAGTACGATACAGAAAATTATGCTTCGTTCGTGGATAAGTACTTATAGCGCTACTTAACTTCGGGAAGCTGCGCTTTCAAGATTCAATATGCTAAGGAAAGCGAGAATTGTCTTGACACAATTGTCCAAGAAGTCTCTCTATAATTAGATATATGAAGGAAACTTAAGCGACATTTAAAGCCGTAGAACATTGTAAACATAACAGCCTACTCAGACTGAACAAAATCTGGTGTAAAATAGAGCGAACGCTATTTACGTTTCTGTTGCTATCTATAAAAATTTCACCAGGGCTCCATGTCATATTCGAACTTTTTTTGGTTGGAAGGTCCTTCTTGTTTATCGTATAAGATTGCGATAATGTTTATTGTCTTTTTATTTATAAAGTGGGCACGCCGGCTTTTGTGTACCAAATGCTAAATATTCATGATTGATGCTCACTCAGACATTTTCTGAAGTCGTTTCGACGCTTAACCAATACCGTTACGTAGTCGAACGTATAGACGATCAAATTCGAGTCATCCGGGTATATCACTGCTGCAATGAAGTCCATTCCGTTCAGGCAGAACCTGGTTTGGAAGTTACAAATAAGAACGGACCGGCCACGCGCTGTGGGATAGAGGCAAGGGGACGATGTTATGCAGTGCTTATGATACGCGAATTATCTGAGAAAAAATGGCAGAGAACAGGGTCTACAAATCTGTGCCTGCTCTGTTAATTAGAATAAGCAACTCTATATTTTAACAGTATCCAATTTTAGGCAATCAGCATGTATTATACGAGATAATTATTTATTAATAATAACTTAAAATAATAAAAAAGTGTGTAAACGAGCAGCACGCTCGGGAAGCTTACAACGCTCACATACGACCTTTGGTGACAAGTGAACATGAAGAGCACTTGGCTTGATGAACGATTCGATTAGGGTAACTTGATTATACTCTTGAACTTTTCATTTGAAACCAGCATTGCGCTACTTCAACGGTGATTCGAACTTCATTTAGAAAACTCCGATAGACGCTTCATTAACAAATCTCAAATATACACTTACGTATGCTGGACTATAGAGAGATAACAGGTTTGCAAATTGGAATGAGGGTTGGATTAATGAATTTGTTATACTTCTTTGTCGCAATATGTCTTAGAAAAACTCGAATAGGGCCTGATGCGCTACCAATAAATCATAAGCCTTTCGTAACGTAATCTTTCATGCTATACTAGAAAGTTGAATCAACAAAATACATTAAGTAATGTTTTTATTTTTCAAATATTACTTCCTGAAGCACAGACGGAACATCTACTAGCAGAGAATAAATTTCCACCGTCTTTCTATAGCATTAGCACTCACTTATAAACAATTAACGTTAAGGTGGTCCACAAGTGAAAACAAGCCGTACCTTTCTCTATTGGCTCTAATTTGTTCCGCTATATGTTCATCTGCTATACATAGCCGCTATCTATCTTCCATTTTCGGTTGCTGTCCACCCATCAAGCAGCATTGTCTGGTCGTATTCGCTGCCGAGAAACGATAGTAAATTACAATAATCATATAATTGTCCAAAAAAAATCATTCACTGAAGCTTACCCGCGTTAATAATCCGTCACGCTAAACTAGCGGGCTCCCTTATCATCTTTTTAGAACATCGTAGCTAGCAACAGTGCTTATGCTACCAGAACGTCTGAAATCTAAACCGCAATCCGCTAGACCGCTTCATTGAATGTCGGGCGACTTACGTCGACAAACGGCCGCTAATCTTGCTTTGTTCAACTAAATCCTGACGAATAACGCGCAGTCTTAAGACAAACAATAACAACAAACATCTTAAATGGGCTGAATACGTGTCGCACTGATTGCCAACGTTGCAGCTTTTGCTACTAAGAGATAACTACTGCTGCGACTGGACAGTGTCGGTATTTTTACCGCCTCTACAGAAAAACAGCCCCTGTTAAGCCTCGACTGGAAAGCTACGGCGTTAGGTCTCGTATTGCCTGATCAATAATTTATGATACACGTGGATAGACGGACAAGATCTCCGGTGCAGCATGTGAGAGACGCGCGTTCTTTAGAGGGCGCAAAACTGTGGGACCAGCCTTGATTTAAGCGATTGAACATGTACACATGATGGATGCTGCTGCTGTAGTCCGTAATGTCAAATCTGCGTAAACTGGAAGATCAGTATGGGAACGGGCTTCAACAAGGCGCAGTGTGTAACGTTTTTTCATGTGAGGCTACGTCTGCTAAACAGAGAGCGTGTTGAACGAAAAGATGACGATCGGTGTATGACGCTGTTTCCGAATGTATGACTCGACACGTGCATTTACTTTGCTATATAGCTACTTGTATTTCAAACTATAAGACAAATTGTACATGTACAAATAGGCTAGTAAGGACATCGACCGAAATCGGCTTGGGTCACTTTTTGTCAAGTGCAGGTTTCTCTTGGGGCCTGCAGCTTCCGGACGACCAACTCAACAACTCTCCGCTAGTTAAGCTTGTCAGAAATAAACTGAGTACTGATAATCTTATCGCAGAGTCTCATTACTTCTAACGGCGGCAATGCTTAGCGATAACAATAGTTTTTTCGTACTGTCAGACGACAAGACACGACCAGCCTACCTATTAAGCCAAGATCAACAACTGGAAACACGACTAATAATTGCTGTCCAGGCTGTAAACTGAACAAATCACCAAAGCCCTTTTCGATGAATATATCTTCCAAGGTAAATACTTCTGATCGGTTAGCTTTGTTTACCGCTCCCACCAACAATTCTGATCCATGACCCGTTCCCCAGTTTCGACAACTTACTGTTAAAAATAGACGCTCAACTATTTTGAAGTTGATCAATCTATACTTGTCATTTTCCCCGTCTGCATTGGTGACGACAGGTGTCGTCGAATGTGTGGCTGCAGGTGTTTAAATATTGTTGCAGCTTCTGTATGTAGCTATTGTTTGCAGCAGCAGCAGCAGCAGCAGCAGCAGCAGCAAAAATCACCGTCACCGGCACCGCGTCGTCGCTACAACTATTTCCAGCATTTTCATTGTTGTTCACTTCGCAAAAGAAACTGGTACTTCTACTCCAGCAACAGGATACGTGTATGTAAATTGTCAAAATAGAAAGAAAATTTACAAACGGCAAATTATCGACAATTCTCGCTTGAGCGCTCGCCGTGGCTGCTCCTTGAACACACGTTGCCGGCCGAACGCAATGGTCGACACGGCCGTTTTGAAATGAATCCGAACAACGGCTTCCCCGTCCTGTGGCCCGATTCCCTTTTATATGATAACTCTACATACAGTAGCATTTATGTTGTTCAGGCAGCATGAACGCTGCGAGTCGCTTCTAGTGGATAATAACAGCCATCACGTCACCGGGACGACGGCGACGACGGCGACGACGACGATGGTGATCGCAAGAATCATAATAATTAAAGGCGGCGGGTAATAATGATAATAGTAAAATAATGATGGTAACAAATTGACGAACAAGCATACGTAAAAAAGGCTTGACAGGGGACACGGGCGTCAATAACTAGAAGATATATGGCAACGTTGCTGTTACGTTTAACACTGCTGGTTGTAGCATCTCAATCGCAACTGCTGCGCCAGCGGCAGTACAAGCAGGTGTCGAATGTGAGCGCGTATAGAAAAAAAAAAAAAGGAACAAGCGGGCTGCTCTATAGCTAAAGTCAGCCGGCAAAGACCAATAAACCAGCTATCGAATCAGTTCGCCGATCGCAAAATGACGAGTTCACGGTAATAATGCTAGCCAGTCGAATGGGGCTAAAACGGAAGAGGTCTCTAGTTAAGAAGGACTAGCCATTTATTGTAATGGCAGCTCGTATCGTTAGCGTTGCTACAGTTTCATCCGTCAAAGGAATATATACGGACAGTCCATTGTCTGCATGGCTGTCTGCCCTCAGTGGCTGAGCTGCGTCACGCGCCTATGGCAGACAAACAATTTCACCATGCCTACAACAGCCGCGGTAGCTAAATAGAATCAACAAGACAAACGCGCTGATCGCGGCGCGTACTTCGGATCGTACAATTGAAATTTGTCTATCTTGCAGTTTAAGCTGCCGCTGTGGGCCGACGCCATCGGCAGGATAAATGTTAGGCTGGGGTTGAAAGGATGAAAGGGAAGCTCGTTAACGAGTCATGCTGTGGTATCTACCCAGAAATAAGTCGCGATAGTGACCATTATTTTAACAAGAGGGACGGTACCCTATTGGAAATAAATGATAGAAGTCGTTATATGACACATTCTGTTATGACATCTATGAGCGGGTTCGAGTTAGCTGACGCTCATGTGTTCAGCACGGTCGACCAACTTATTAGCAGTCGTCAAAATTTGCTTTTCTATGAAAAATCTAGTAAAAAATCTAGATGACAAAAAAAAGGAACGCTGGCAGGTCGTTGCGCTCCTACCTCTATCTTTCGCCTTTGCTCAAATTTTCCGCGGATATTTCACCATTTGATAGCGATAGCCATCTTTATTTAGATCGATATCTGACCTGTATCGATTTGAGTTTATAATTCACAACTTTACAGAATTTTAAGCATTACAATTGAATGTGTTTAAAAGTTGATTGAGCCTTAATCAGCTTAACGTCAGGGGTGTAAGAACTTAAAAAGATGCTTTTCACCAATCCTAATTTTCTTAGCGAAAGAACGTACCGAAATATTTTGAGTATGGCTTGTTACTTCAAGCGTTTTTTTTTTTTTTTTCTACTCGGTGACAATCAGCTTAGAATAGAAACGTTTATTGATTGGGTTTAGGGAACCGACTTGATTTTATGCACGATCTTAAGCTTTGTTCGGTGACATTGAATCCAGTGAACTGTGGATTGGTAAACTACCGCACTAGTCTTTCATGCAAATTCTCAATAAATATGATGCAGGAACACTAGTACGTGCGTAGTGTACGCTTCTTGGATTTTAGCTGCGGCCTCTTCCGGTTCAAAAGAGGTTGCAGTAAATTTCCACGAACAAACCGCTTCCGATGATTCTTCTGCGCTCATAGTAGCATTGTCACTACAGTTTCTGCTTCATTTGCTTAACGTTACGCACTTTTCGCTTAGCTACGTCGTCGCGAAGAGCCCTGCTACCCGTTGCGGTGTACCAGTCGATAGTTGCCCAACAAGCGGCTGCTGCATGCATTAAACACCCACCGCAAAGGGACCTTTGTCGTCAAGTCTTCACCGTCGATGTAGTCAATCAGTTAGCATTGAAGTTATTGTCGATGATAGAAGTTACCGCCACCTTTTCCGCGAGAATAGGCACAACACAGCAAGTAGACAGTCGGCGAGCAGCGCTCGACGTACATCAACCCAGACGCCCAACTGAGCGCGCTAGCAATTCTAGCTAGATATGCGTCCGTGCTGGAGCGGACTCGCAAACAGGGAACGTTTTTCTTCGCCGATTTTGCGCCTTCACTTGTCGCTACGAATCTCTTTGCTTTGGAAAGTCGTTTTCCTACCGTCTCGCTTCAGTCCCCCTACCTTCGGCTGCCTGTTTCCAAACAGACATATGAAAAAACGCGTAAAACACGACGATGACAGCGGAATATGGAGACAAGCGAAGCTGCAGCGGTACCGGCCGTCGTTGCTAAAAGTAAACATCCGGTGGCCTAAAGGACTTTGTTATCTCGCAGGTGCCGCTGTTCGCTGCGCCAGCTCCTTGGCCGCTTGTTATTGTATTACTATTGCTGGTATAATGAGCCTACTGCATATATATATAATGATGACTATGATGTTATGGTGGCGATTGTTGAGCATCGTGCGTCTGAATGCGTGTGCGCAGGCATGAAGCGCTGCAGATGATCGTCGACGGCTAAATCGATGACGACACAGGCGGCACAATCCAGGGATGAGCAATTCCTGTCTACAGCTTAGAATGGCCTCCGATTACTAGACTAAGCGGGATCATAGCGGAGGGAAAACGAAGAAGAGGCAGTACTACTAGTACAGGCGTGCTACCTTTATTGCCAAATCACATAGCCGGTAATGCACTGAGCAGTGGCGGAAGCGGCCACGGTTACGGTGGGGTTGTAGTAGCAGTAGCAAGTCTTTTTCTCATACCTTGCTCCCTTTCTCGCTGTCCCGCCAACTGGTGAGCAGCATCGAAAAATCACAGCCAAAGCGGTGCCACAAGCAGTAACTGACTAAACTAGCATCATCACTGAAAACTTCTATGAACATAACTCACTATCGTTACGTACGCCGACATCTATGAAGTCGACGACCATCATTACGCGGCAGCAGCAGCTGAAATAGCAGGGCTACGACGAACGTGAGGTGACAAGGGAACTAATAAAATAACTAATCAATAACAGTAATCGAACGATACAACCAGCATTGCCATCCACTATTTCCATTATGATATATAATACAGTAAAGCTGTCATCAAATGAACGTTGAATAACTCTTCGTTAGGCCTTAATGAGAGAACAGATGTAGGGTCGAAGAGCGCAAAAAACCATTGGAACAGCTCGTCAGAACGAATCACCTCGTGTGATAACTGACCGCCAACCTATGCCTGACTATGTAGTGCTACATTGCGTCCAAAGCGTTACGGACAAATTGCGTATATACAAATGATCCAACATTGTCTCGTACGCATTTGCTACGAGCAGCAAATGGAACCAGCTGTATGGTCAGAGATCATGTAGTTTCTTTCGATGGCGAAAAGCTATCAGAACTTCGATTTACTATAGAAAAAAAAGCCCAATTAGCGATTCGGAAGATGTGGGTCGTTTTTTGTCAACTATATCTACTTACAGTTTCCCATTTGTTTTAGAGTTGAAGGAATAGGCGTATTAGATCTGACACTGATGCTATTTGAGAATCGCAACGTAACGGAATCGCCTTTGCCGGCCAGGCTGTGGGCATTCTTCGTACCGGTTTTCAGCAGAGAGGAGAAACTTTCGACAGACATCCAATGCTTTTTTGCCTGTTTTGTTACTTTACCGCTATTGTTTCAACAGTGACAGTCGAACGACACGCGCCATTGTTTTCTCGATGTCTGAACGTGAAGGCACATTCTATGCTTCGGATCCTTTCAGCATCTTCGTTGTAGTTTTTATTTCAACGCCATTTCATCGTTTTTCTATTCTTTAAAGCTGAGGCATCGAGTTCGTAAATGACGCGCTGATATACTCATGCGGCTCAAGCGAAAAGTTCGACCATGCCCGTGCGTCATTGAAACGCGCTTGCAATAGCTCCCCTGTACATCCCTTCTCCTTAGTAGAAAGTGACCGGTCTTTTCTAGACAGACAATACTTAATAGCTGATAACGTTGCTGCAAGCTGCTGTTTAGGTGATATGATCATTTCAAGGTGTAATCCCCTGTTGGCCAGAGCGGTGACAAACAAGAGCGTCAAAACATATTTTATGGGTTGATAGGATCATATATTGCAGCCACATGGCCGTAGCATTGCCACTGTGGGAATAGTGCAATGGTCAGGGATGATGATTTCCTGGGAGAGAAAGGTTACTAGGGCTGAGGTTAAGGGAGGCAGCTTTGGCGCATGCATGCATGCTCTCCTATTCCATTAAGATCCGTAATAAAACTAGGAGGAAAGATATGACAAGAGTCTTCGCTTTAGAGCGGCGAATATATGTGAGACTGAGTCTCGTAATTTTGTAAAAATCAAGTTATATGTCATTACTAATATGTGCTAACTGCAAAGTTTCAACCAGATGTTATGGCTCGTTGGTTGTCTTTATTCTACAGTAACAGGAGAACATGCCCCAATACCGTCCCGTTCGCAAACGTTCCAGCAGTCTTCAATGCAACATGAATCCTTTCTGGTAGTATTGACACACTCGAAGGCTACTGCTTTGATTTACACAAGTCCTAATCCACTCATAGATTTTCTATCTAACAGTCTGCTCCTTAGCGCCTCGTTCTGACAGAAAGGCTGGGTCTATATCGATATACACGCCTGCATGTTGCTTGCATACATATCGGTATAGTTTACTATGATACACAACGTGATCTTTACAGGCCACCGTTATCATTGCACTGAGAATCTCTCTCAATCCGTGTTCGTATGGATACTAATAGTGAACGAACTTGTGCATTTGTGACACGCAATTTGTACGAGATCTCCCTTTTCCCTCTTCTCTTCCAATCTAAGCTTCCATTGTGTGTTGTATTTGAACATGTTTCCGACGGGCTCGGACGTCCTCCCGCTAGATGCCGTCAATTAGTTTCTGTTATCCGCCGAAAACGATCGAAGGAGTTCGCCGGATGTACACGCCGTCATCATTTGTTCGAAGCTTTATCGATAGTTCCTCTTGTATCCTTTTAATCGGTCCTCGAACGTTATCTGAACTGTGCACGATCCAACGAATTGGGGTAAAGGTGCGCCATGATGTAAATGGCAGCACACGTGAACTATATATTTGGATCAATGTAGGGTCAGAAAGGAGCGGCTGCAGGACTTTCCTCCTAGGACTAGTACAGTATGCCCGATAGTGCATACAAGATGACCTGAGGGAGGATTCTTAATGATACGAAATGCACATCTCTTTAGCAACCATGTGGGGCGCAACCAAATTTATTTTTGTACTCTAATGTCGGTGACTATTTTTAAGCTCAAGATAAAATCAATGGCACATTTTGATCTACAAAATCTATTAAATCTGCGAAATTTAATGAAATAATAAATAAGAAATTTGTAAACATTATCAGCTATGGCTATGTAGATTACGCTTTAAATACGCGTACTTAAAATATTTGTTAACGGAACACAAACTGAATAGCGTGCAGCAAAGGGCCGCCTCTTTCTATACATAGCGCATTCACTAGACCAAGACGCCTGTTACAAACATACAACTTGATACTTAAGCATATTTGTATTTTGGAGTTTTTAACACGCCGCTGAAAACCGCATCAGATGGCCTTTGAAATCATTAAAGAACTTTTTTTGGGTTGCACAACTGCCCAAGATGAAAATCTGACAGAATAAATGCTATCGATTTGCGGACTCTCTGATTCTGAGGATACATAAAACTGTGATGGGTGGATTATGCAACATACATGTTGAGTCAGTAGTTATTATAATACAATAGTAGTATGGTAAGTAGACGTAAGTTATCGTTACCTCGCAGAAACAACTAAACTACCGCAGTGGTTGCCCCTATATCGTGCGGGCAGAACCTCAAAACGATGAGTAGTCTTTTGCCATAAACAGTATCAATGTCATCATTGCTAAGAAATGATAATTTCAGGGTATCGATGTGTATATAATGTACCTGGAAGTATGCCCTAGCAACTCAACTTCACGTACATACGAACGTGCACAGAAATATAAATGACTGACGCAGATGATTCGCTGCCATTCCGGATATCTGTTAGCAGTTATCGTCGTCAAGGTCGTACGACAAAAACATCGTCCTGACGATTGCGGGCTGGCAGAATATATAGTTGTCAATCAGTCAATAACCTACTTGGCTAGCTTGACATAATCGTCGATTCTGAGTAGGAACAAAAGAAAAAACAGCTTTTTCAACAACTACTTCCCTGTCCTTTTCTGCAAAAGGACGACTTGTTTCAGGCCGGATAGTCCCAACGGGACATCGGCGACACTACATATCAATTTCCCGCAACAGTTAGCCAGCCGACAAAGGAATACAGCTATTTTTACCAGAAATTTATTTTCACACAAAATTATATAATATATATTTTCATCAAGCCTCGAGCGTTTTATCGCTTATCAACAATGGATGAAGATCATCACACAGTTTCGTGGCATATAACGGCCGCATACGTAGGAGCAAGACATCTCGACGGTAGAACGATACGTCAAAAGCCAAATTGTCGTCAATGGCAGAAGCAGCACTGTATGCACCGGTCGTTGGCGTTCTTAGAAATGTACGCGCTATCCTTTTAGAATTGGATACTTTCTTTTTTTTTTTGTCAAAAAATATATTCGAGGCTTGTTAGATGACTTCATTTGTTATTATTGTTATCATCATCATTATTAGCGTCATGCCCACCGTTGCTTGGGTTGAACGACGGCAATCGTGACTTCGTATTTTCGTAGAATTTTACAACTTAATTACTCGTTTATCATAAGTACAATAGAATGCATTCGTTGCTCGTTGTACATGCGTAAATTTGTGTACATTTATTGATATGTCTTGTCCTATGTGATAACGGTAGTCGACGAAGGAGGGAAACAAGATAGAGGGTGCGAAACCGGAAAGAAATTACTTACCATACACTATAACAGAAACGTAGAGGACGCTACGGAGACGGTGCCAGATATATTCCAGTAATAGAATAAGCGCCTGGTTTAAAGATACCAGAGAACTCGACGTTTCAATGAAAAACGGGCTGAAATATCAAATAATTTATACCTTATAGTCGATTTGCTAAAGTGCTCAAAGGGTACCCAGCACAACTGGTAGTGGCACAATGATGGTAACGACTGATTTGTTGGTCTTACCGTCCTAGTGAAAAAAAAAAAAAGTACTTAGCTATATTTTAAATTACGACAGACTTCCGTTTGAATAATACAGGTAATGATCGCCTTATCAACTCAATACTGTAATTAATATCAATTGTCGAGAAAGCATGGAATTGTGCAAATGTCTCGCTAGAAAGTGATATCTGCGGGTTATTTGAGGAACCTTCACCGTTCACATAGGACACCTCGTAGGCTAGGTTTGAGTGTGGCGTAGATGCATTTTGCTCCATGTTAGGAGCATGAGGCCAGCTGATCGAAGTACTGCCTAGCTATTTAAGTAGCGTACGTAAAACCCCGGAAAAAAACAGCCTCATTTGCTCACCCTCTTTCATATCAAACACACAGAGCAAACAATACTGACAGACTCCATTGATATAAACAAAACCGTCTAAGACTGATGTCCAATCGTAATCTGGACCTCCTTTTCATGATCATTCTTTTCAAATATAGTCGAAAAATATCTATAATTTCTACTATTCTTCTAATAAGTTACTGTCAGGTTCTGAATTTTCGATTATTAATTGCTTTACTTTTGTTTTGTTAGCCATAGCATATTTACTTAGATACGTTAGAGACTGCAATAGAAATGTCTGAACGTTAACTTTATTATATATTCACTTATCCTAATCGAAATGTCCTACTATTAAGTTAAACATTAAGAAGGGAAGAGAAAAAATTTAATTGATCCGCGTTTATATTTTATAAAACTGTTTTTTAGATATCGCAGAAGGAACTATTGGAGGCATGCATTTTTCGCGCCCTAACCAAAGAAGCTGTTGTAATCATTGACAAAAAGGCATCGATAATTTCTGTTAACAGTGTTTTGGTAGTAAAATATCAATTTGGCAATTCGATAGAGAGCCTGATTAATCGTTGAAACAACAAAAACGATACTAGCCTTTAATACGTTTACGCTGCTGCCGATTGTTACCCTTCTTCGCGAGCATAACGATCATTCCGAAGAACAGTTGCGTCCCATTAAATCTTCAGATTTTTCGGACGCAATTCGAAGTATCGACGCATAGCTGAACAAGAATCTGCGCGTTCTATTCACGTCACAACGGTAATAAACTTTCAGGAACTTTACATACATTACAGTATAGTGGAATCCTCATCTAGGTTGACTAATTTCCAGCGAAATATTGATACTTTTTGTTTTATTTCCACGCCGGAACGAGCGGAATATTTTTGACAATCATATATATATCTAAAAAAAAAAAAAGTTCTATTTTATAGCTCTGATGATCACTGACTCTCTATGTAAGTAAATAGCAAAAGGCAATGCCCAAGTATTCGGTATTGTTCCGGTGCTCGAACTTCGGTATCTGAAGTAAGGAGAGTCTTGTTGCAATTGTAGATGAAGTGTACCATCTAACTCACAATCGGACGATTCGATTTTGAAGAGATCTGTCCGATTATAATATATCAAGGGGTCGAGAGAGACAGACTAAAAAAGCAAAAACCACCCGACGACTACGAAAAAAACCGTAGACGCGTTGCCGTTGTACATCGTTCGTTCGTACACCATCACATGAGTGACAGGCCGAATGCGGTCACGTGTGAGGCGTGTCATGACAATACCTCATCATCAGTAATATAAGATATGGCACGACACAGAGGCCGAGAGAAGCGTATGGATTGTCATTGGTTCTTCTACTCATCGTTTGATAAATGCTGACTCTTCTCCAACTTCGCAGAGATGTAGCACAGTCAGTTCGCGGATCTGGGAGAAAGACGGCTATTTACAAATATAAGGCAAGTTCAAATTCGTCGTGAATCGTTCATTTTAATTGTGCCAAATGTAAGGACCAGGCAAATGCTACATTCTACTGAAAATAGTATCAAAACTGCTGCAATTGTCGGAGCTGTCCGTAGACGGCGACAGACAGAGCGGCAGAGGGGGAGCCATAGAACCGGTTGCTCTTATGGAGTCCTTAGAATTATTTAGTTGCCCTAAAGACATAGACCCGTTGCCATCGCAAAGTGCTTGAAGAAAAAATGAGCACGGCTGAAATCGCTGTTGAAATTAAGAACAAGTGTCTTTTGATTAAAGCGTTAAATTTGGTGTATATGAAAGTTTGTTGGTGTTCGCTAATTCCGCATTCTGCGCTCGCTGTTTGATATTGCTGCTTAAGGAGCAGTCTAAGTTAGCAAGTACGTAGTTAGTTACGAACGAGAGTCTTCTGAAGCTGCAAATCTAGCCGTAGAGCCGTCGAGTAACAACGAAATAACAAATGATTTGCACTTGGAAACTTAGAGAATTATCTGCATGAGAAAACTTCTTAGTTATCGAGAAACGCTGGTCCGGTTTTACACGAAAGGTCTAAGGTTAGTGCATCTAGGTCAAGATGAACGCCGGTACTAAACGTGATTTGTTTATTCCTTGAGACTTTCTGACATGAACCATGATTCAATGTCACACGTTTTGTGCCACACCTGCACGAATCGGGACGTTTTGATCGTACTACTAACTTCTATTAAGGCTATTATAAAATGCAGAAACGTGTGAAACTGAAAAAATTTCCTTAAAAGTCGTCCGAAGATTGATGGCTATAACACCACCTTAAAGGCACATTTTATCGCCGGCGACAACAATGGGTAACTGCTCGCGGCCATAGCAATCTCAATATCTGCGTGTGGTTTCAATTTCAATCGAACAGAAACTTTCAGTTTATTTTTTGTCCGATTGTCAAATTGATGAAAAAGAGTCAACCAATCGACACTCGTTCACATTTCCTCACTGCCCTTTTAACAATGAATGCCCCTCCTCGTCTGACATAGTTTCGTATACGGTCACTGTTGAAATTATTTTTCAAGGGCCGCATACGTCTACACGTAAGAGTTAACTTTGGTGCTTTCAATTTTTGTTACTTCCATAGGATAGGTACAATCAGGTCAGTATAGGGTTATCACACAGGCCATTCACGCTGACCGTCACCGCGTCAAATAACCGTATTCTACATTTTGTACTATATTTGTGCTGTGTCGAAGTAGTTTGCTCACTTATATGCTTATTTACTCCGCCTGCCCGTACCTAGTTCGCATGCTCCTGTCATCACCATTGTTGCACACTATAACAACAACAGCGTGATGCTGAGTGGCATCGAAACAGGTTCAGCGAGTGATCGATGACTGACAAAGCTGATGCTGGTGCCTCTGCCACATTCACATTTGGTGCCAGAAGTAGTAGCAGTGGGGCTCTGGTGGGGCCTCGTCGCTGTCATTATATTTCGCGGTCGTAACACAACATTTACTTGTCAATGAGGCAGCAATAACGGGCCGCAATCATCAACCACTAAGGGGACTTACGGGGGGCAGAACTGTCGAGTTTAGCGGCAGTAGCGGCAATGACCGTGCTACAATGAACTCTGCTTCATTTTCGTCCGTCGGCGACAACGTGTTTCATTGTTTTGGTTGTTATCGTCTCTGCCGTTGAGGATAGTGGTACTGCTAAATCTGATCAAATTCCGGACGCCGCTGGGCTACGACTTGTACGCGAGAGAAGATTCGCCAATCCGGTCAATGAGTTCGATCGTTCCTGGTTAGAGTTCTGCGGCCCATTAGCATCAGCATCGATTCTCGCTACTGAGAGACAGATTTCATTGTCTGCGTAAACTATTGACGAACGACGCGATTTAAAATCGCGCAGGTATCACCGAGGTGCTTTTAACACAGCTTTTAACGGCAATTGCAGTTCTGTTCGTGCTGTTTTTGTGACTCGTGTATCGCACTGAACTTACCCGACGTTAATCGTTTGATGTTGTCGATAATGATAATGGTCGTAAGCGGTACTTAGATGAAACTAGACGGTACTCGATAGTTCGATATCTAGACAGAGGATTAAGCAACGCCACTAGTTGGTTAACTGATCCATCAAGTAAAGGAATTATTTCTCTCTCTATCCGGACTCCCTGAACTCGTTTCGATAGATAAGTATCTAAGTTTGCGTCCGTCTTCACCGCGTACTGGTTAGACGATCAGATATCGTCAGTCAAAACGGGTGGCGAGATTGGAACGACAAATAAGGACTCGAACATCAACAGCATCTGCGTAAAGCCGACTGTCTTGGTGGCAATCGGTCCGGTCGACAATGATGAAATGATAGGTATTTGTACCTGAACTACCTGAATCAACTATTTAATTTGTCGTGGGTCCACCATATGGTACGAAAAAGCGCGTAAAATTATTACACATTTTCTGCAAAGCGCATCATTGGAAAAAAGACGAAATTGGTTAAGGACTAAATTAAAAATTTAGTCTGGAACCCAGTGTGTGGAAGGCGGGATTGAATAAAGAAGAATCGATCATTCATAGGCATTTGAAAAACTCGTACCTGTCACCCTTTGCTGATGTACCAATCGAAAGGGTTTGAATTTGACGATTTCTATTGTACGGTAAACTAAAGTGACTAAATTGATCTATAATTCCGAAATTTTCGAACATCTTTTTTCACCTCTCTTCGCCCCCCCGCCCTGCCGAGATTTTTCGATTTCATAGGGTGCTCATAGTTTTGAAAAAACAGGTAATAATCTAATCTTTAAATAAAAAAAACTTACTAGAAAGTAAGGTTTGAAGTTGAAATTCTTTGCTAACAACACGAACCGGAAGCATAGTAAAATTCTCAACGAACAAATCCACATTAGCTTTTGTCCCAGATATGATATTATAGTTGAAAAATAGGCGCGGCCAAAAATAATGACCCTTATCAGCTTTAAAAGTGCTGAGCAGGTCCACGTTTATTCGACGTTAGTGAGTCTGACGAGTACTGACGTTGTGATAACAAAGAAAGATCGACTGATTGATTAAAATGGAGATCACAAACACGACTTGGGTGCCCCAATACCTTACGCTCGTAACTAGGGCTTAT